GTATCATTGAAAACAATTGACATTGAATAGGTTTCATTTTGAAACGATGTATAGACAAGTCCCCAACTTAGAAACCAGTTTGTTCTTAAGGTTCTTGGGTCAGCCCCCCGAAGCCTTCTGATCTCCAACACGGCAGAAATGTAGGGCTGTGTCAGCCAGAGCTGGTTGACTGTTGTGGGCTGACCTGGAAATCGAGCCACCTATGAAGTTGTTGCTGTGAGAAATGCATTCCAGGTTGGGCCTTGGGATCCTGAAAACACATTCTTCTCCCCGTGGTGGCCGGCCTCTTGCTACCTTGCAGGATGGAAGTCCAGTCTCTTGACAACAAACTACATTTATAAGGGGAGAGAGGGAGTGGGACGCGTATAGGACATTCCCTAATTTGGGGAGTGATTTATCTAAATATTCATGTCCACTTTACCTTGGTATGAACTCCCTCTCGATTTGATGATATTGAAAGCCTTAAATAAAACTATGCATGCTCTTCTATGTGCTTTTTTATATCAGTAAATAAGCTTATGCTTGCCAGTTTCATACACAATTATGAGGTGTATAAAACTGACTTTTGACAGTATTTTTTGCACTGTTTCCTATCTGTTTTTATAAAGTCTTATTTAGATATTGGTCCTAGTTGCATATTATGTTCTCACTCCCCTTGTCATTGCTGTAAAATGTTTCATATGTGCCTTTACAAATGTGAGATCTTTATTCTAACCTTTTTTGTAAAAGATATCTATTGATTTCCATATGCAATAAACTTTTTTTTTTTCAGAGAGAATAGTTGCATCTTCTAACTCTCTTCTGTCCTGTGTATGTTTGCATTAGTTGAAAGCACCAACATCTGTTACCTCTAGGATTATGTTGGGATAGGCAGGAATGCCTGGGAAAATCAGCTTTCTGAGTTTTTTAAAGCCCATTTATTACCACCCACTTTTCATTCCTGTATAACTTGATCATACTGAAAATTTAGTTTGAAATTTCCAAAGTTGTCATTGTTAGAAGAAACCTTTTGTAAGGGGTGATGGCTAGGCCAATGAAGAATACATAGAAATGGGTCTTTTGCACAAATGCAGTGATAAACCTTATTAAGCTCCATGGCCCTTTTTCCAGCTGATGTTTACTCAGATCCCAGACTGTTGACCTGGAAAAGATAAGCACCAGGCAGATATAGAACCCAAAGTCTTGTTTTTGGCTTTCAACTTTATTAACAGCCCAACTCATCTCTACCTTTAAAGGTGGCTGTCCTGCCGCATAATTTTCAGCCAATCAACTGTTGTAGACATACACATGAACCCCTGGTGATCAGGGTGGATATTTTTTAATGTGTCTTTGATAAGTCACAGGGCAAAATAACCACTTCTGTGAGTAACCCGCCTACAACCCTGTCACTGTACCAGGAGTCATTCATCTACCAGAGGCGTCAGCTTGTTCCATATCATGAAAATGAGAATCCTCTGGGCCACTCTGCGGTGGAAGGAGATGGCAGCAAATCTCATTAAACATATAAATAGTTCTGTGTATATGGTGATGTGGCCAAAAGACAATTAGGTTCTTGAAAGAAAAGCCACATAGTATTAAAAAATGATAATAGACAAAATTCCAATGAAAATGGAGAGTAGTCAAGTGGAATGGCAAGAGAAAAGGTACATTAATTTGTTTTCTCTTTCGGGGACTGTGTAAATAGACTTGGTTTATTTCCTTTGGTTGATAAACAGAAAAAGTAGTCTTACATAATTTAGAAATAAAACTAACCACTAGTAAACCTGATTATCTCCAAATAGAATATTAGCAGAGCTGAGGAAGGAAATTTTAAAAAAGAGAGAAGAAAACTCAAAAGAGCAAAGATACGTATAAGAAAAATATGCAATAAAATGACAAAAACAGGATCAAACATGTCTATTTTATGTGATTTTACATTTTACTTAACAAATGGGGAAAACGTGTCAGACTTAACAGGAAACATAAGAGAAGAAAAGAACTCCTCCATAATAGCTATAGAAAACATAAAATCTGGGAATTAAGAAGAATGTGTCGGACTTGTATAAACCTAACTGAACCCCTCTAAGGCAAAACGTAGACAAATTGATAAACTCACCACATTCTTGGATAGAAAGACTCATGTGAGGAAGAGCTGAGCTCTCTGTGTCACTGACTCCATGCAATTGTAGTAAATCTCACAGCAGCACTTTTCCGGGGGGTGGGGGTAGGGGAGGCCCAGAGAGGCCTTGGCCAAATGATTCTCAAGTACTTTGGAGAGTTAAACATGGGAGAAGGGTCAGAAAAACTCAAGAGAACACAAGATTAGCCCTAGTAGATACTAAAAGTTTTGCAGTGCCACAATAATTAAGAGTATTTTATTGGTATTGGAATAGACGGATCAATGGAGTGAAATAGTGCAGAAATAAACTTAGGTCTTAGGGCAATGATAATGATACCAATTCAAATCAGCAGGGCAATAAATCATCCAATAAATGATGCTGGCCTGCTTTCTCTCTTTCTTTTTCTTTTCTTTTTTTCTTTTTTTGAGGAAGATTAGCCCTGAGCTGACATCCACCACCAACCCTCCTCTTTTTGCTGAGGAAGATGAGCTCTGAGCTAACATCCACGCCCATCTTCCTCTATTTTATATGTGGAATGCCTGCCACAGCATGGCTTGACAAGCAGTGCCATAGGTCTGCAACTAGGATCTGAACCGGAGAACCCTGGGCTGCCAAGGTGGAATGTGCAAACTTAACCGCTGCACCACCAGGCCAGCCCAATGCTGGCCAAAAGGGCTAACAATTTTGAAAATTAAAAATTTTAAAGAGTACAATTGGATCCCTTACTATTAAATAAAACAATTCTAGATAGATCAAAGACAAAGAAAAAATTGTTTTATTCCTTTTCATTTAAAGATGAAAACAATCTACCTTTGTACAGCAAGTGTCATGGAAAATAATGGACAACAAGGGGAGAAATATTTTCAATACAGAACGAAGAGCAAATATCTCAATATTCATTGTTTCTTAGGAATCATCATGAAAGACGTGAATAGCAAAGTAGGCAGTGGCCATGAAGATCAACAGGAGAAACACAACTCCTAAGTATACGAAAAAATGCCTGATCTCATTAAAAAATGCATATAAAACAAAATATTTCACACATTAGATTAGCAAAAATTTTTTAAAACAATACAGTGTTATGAGGGTAGAGGAAAAAAAATACCAAAAATATTATATCCTATTGGTAACTGATGGCAGTTTTTTAAAAAGGAAATGTGGCCGTGTTTATTCAAATAAAAAAAATGTTTCCACTATTTGATCCTGAAATTCCACTTCTAGGAGTCTGTCTCCAAAAATGCTACGACACATCAGCCAAGTTCTGTGTCTGGGATTGTTCACTGTGGCATTGTTTATCACGGCAGCAAAGTGGGAAAACCACATGTCCATAAACAGAATGGCTGAGCAACTTATGACATCCACATTTGATGCAACGTTCTGCTTCTAAAAAGAATGAAGTGAGTCTGTGAATGCTGGAATGAAAAGAGATCCATATTGTTAAGTCAGAGAAGGAGATTACAAAATATGTCAGTACCATTCTGCCTGTGTTTTTCTAAATCTATTTATATAGATACATTATACAGGCAGGGGAAAAATTGGGACCACATAAGTAAACTGTCTACAGTGGTGACCTCTGGGGAGTGGGACTGACAGGGAAGAAGGAACAGCTTGCTTTTTTTCAGATATGTTTGTACTATTTAAATTGAGAAAGTATTACTTTTTTTTTTTTTTTTTTTGGTGAGGAAGATTGTCCCTGAGCTAACATCTGTGCCAGTCTTCCTCTATTTTATATGTGGGTTGCTGCCACAGCATGGCTTGATGAGTGGTGTAGGTCTGTGCCCAGAATCCAAACCCATGAACCCTAGGCTGCCAAGTGGAGTGTGGGAACTTAACCACTATGCCACTGGGCCAGCCCCCAGAAAGTATTAATTTTATAAATTTTATAAATCCTATAGAGACAGTAGGCTAAGCACATTTTAAGCTTAGCTACATTAGCATTCTTAAAACATCATGCTCCACAGAACCAGGACGATGCTTTATGCATCTATGCGCTCACAGAGCTACACAGAGTGCTTTGTGTAGAGTAGGTGTTCAATAAATGTCATTGCACTTCACTGGACAAGCAATGCATTCTACCTGCTGACTCCCACTGTGTGCAGTTAACTGTGTGTCTGAGAGCTGCGTGCGGGGGTGTGTAGGCGAGTAAGGAAGGGTAATGTACCAGATTTACAGCTGTTCAAGCTGTCTGCAGATTAGGACTATGAAAGAAAGATGAAGTGTAAACTCCACCAGGCTTTGTTACCTAACGGGGATGTTCCTGTCTTTGGACTACAAGAAACTCCAAAGAGAAACATCCCTGACCTCCACAGAGAGCACCCCTCTGGGCTGTGCCCCTCTCTGCCGTGGTTGCTAACAAACACTCCCCAGGTTGCTGCCATCCAGGCTGTGGGGAAGCCTGGCCGCGCGGGGAGCGATCCTGTTTGCTCAATAACACAGTTGGTAAGGAAAATTTTTCTTCCTTCGCAAGCTTACCCTGGAGTGCTTCCAAACAAGGAGAGTACGGCACAGAACAATCAACAAAATGAGAGACGGAAAGTCTGCTTTCAGACAGATGAGAAAAAAAAGCCAAGGAAGAGAGGCATGCCTCATGCATTGAATGGACCCCAGACACTAAGAGAAGAATTGAAACAGGCAGATTCTCCCGTCAGTGAGGGGTTCCCAGTCAATTGTTCTCCGCCACAGATATCTTTCTTCCCTTCTTGCAGCTTCTCTCTTTCTTCCTCCATCACAGTGGACCCTGAAAGCAACTGCAAGCTAGAGGCCACGTGACCCCCCTGCCCCAGGGGCGGCCTGAGCCCACCACCTGATTCAGAAGAGGTGTCAACAAGCATGACATCCGCTCCAAGACCTAGCTCCCACCGCCACTTTGAAATCCTCCCGGAGATAGAAGAAAACACAAACTTTAAGTACTATAATCTTTTTTTATTCTCTTTCACCACTGAGGTTGTTCAGAACATTATAATAGGCATGAAGGGAAAAATAATTGAATTTTTTAAACTCTGTCTAAAGTATATAATAATATATGAAACCATGCCATTCTCTCTTAGAAAAAAAAAAGCATCCAAAAATTAATTTAAGGTTAAAGATTAAGACCAACTTCCAAGTAAGCCATGTGTAAGGTTTAAGTGCAAGTAGTATTTTCATTCCAATGATTTTATGGAAGTGCTGGAGTGATGTGTACGATTTGAAATATTCAAATCCTTGGAGGTTTCTGCGCTAGTATTTAAATAAAAACTAACACGTTGGCATAGTTTCAGTGGCTCTCGATTTCCTGTTTGATCTCAGAAATGTAGGGGTGGTCTTTGCCATGAGCTACTTCCATGATGGCAATGGCCTGGGAAAGAGAGAGAAAAAGAGTTGAGAACCTGCAGCCAGTCCCCTTGCACCGCCACCCCGGCTAACTTTAATCCAAGTCGGACTTCGCTTTAAGGCACAGGATACAACCCGGCTTTTAGAGCCTGTGTTCTCATCCAGAGTCTGGCTTTAAAAAAAATAGAGAGACAAGATTATCTGGTAACCAACTGGTCACCCAGTCTCTAAACATTCTGAGTAAAACATTCGGCAATAGCTGCAGAAATGATGCAGAGAAATTGATTTCATGACTTTTTTTTTGCTTCAATATTCTAGATATTTCAGTAAAAAATGCTTTGGGGACAGAAGTATTTGGCTGTGCTAAACTACGTAAACAGGCAATGCTGAAACAGAAAAGGCCACAGTGAACTTTAATCAAAACTCCTTTGATTTTGGTTTACATCACTAATAAAGATGTGATTAAACCATTTTTCCCTTTCAAACAGTGCATGCTTTCCTCTTAACACATATTCTTTAAAGAACTTAAAAACAGGTGCAGGTTTTATTTGAGGAAGCTAGAGAGAATGTGTCCAATAAGGTTTCTTTATAGTGAGGCAATATAAAGTGGAAGAGGTGCCAGAGGTTCCATCATTTCCTAGCTGTGTGACCTTGGGCAATATACTTAAGTGCTCTGTGCCCCATTTGCCTCATCCCTAAAGTAGGAATGATGCCTACTTCTCAAGAGTTTAGAATAGTGTCTGTAATAGTGCCTGGCAAACAGGAAGTATATATCGAATATAATCTATAAGAATTTATTTTGCTCTTTTGTATTCAACTATATTACTCATAGACAGAAAAACCTAAATTACTCCACTCCCTCAAACAGGGAATTTGGGATGGGCCTATGATTCTGACGGGCATTCCTTTCCATTCTACTATTCTCTTTCTGGATCCCAAACCAATAGGTGGCAGGCCAAGTAACGGTGTCTGCCTTCAGGAATCTCTGCTGTGAATGCCTCCCCTCGCCCTCTGCATTCATTTCATGGCTCACGTTCCTTGCTCAGATCTACTCTATCCTTCATTGATCTTGTATTTAATTACCCACCAGCACGTCACAATTGTGACCACACTGGGTAATCTTATCTTCCCTCAACTCACTAAGGCAACAAATATGTTATCTTAGATGGCAAATTCCATGGTTTAAAAACAAAAAATTTTATGCGTAACTCACACTTGTAGCCTGGCCTTGCCCTGACCCTTCCAGTGGGGATGCGGGACCCTTACTCCATCTTTCTGAATAGTCTATTGGGAAGATTTGGGGAACCTGGAGAATTAGGCATCTGGGCCTAGTTGGTGGCCCTCACTTTTACAAACATTCTCTGACAGGAGTCAAGAGACTGTCCCAAAGATAGTTTATCAACGGCTAACTTCTACATGAAGAACCATGAGAATCAGCACTCAGGGCGTTGACCCTGAGCTGCTGTAAGGTGCGAAGGTCAGAGTCGGGTGCCCTCGCCCACTGGCAGCAGGGCAGCTGTGAAACACTGAGGGGAGCAGATGCTGCCCAGGGTCCCAGTTTGCCCTGTGTGTCAGTCACAGCAGGAGTGGGTGGAGCTGAAGCTTTCAACTCAGAAAGAACCCAGTTGAACAAGGACTCTCATTTTTGTGAGAATGAAAAGAAAAAACACACAAGAGGGTCCTGGCGTGGAGCTAGTACTCAATGGACAGTGATGGTGATCATCACAACACTTTAGAAACCACAAAGGCACAATCCTAATGGGGAAGAACTCTCCATAGCCAGCTGCCTTGATTTCACCACAATCAGGCATACACTATCACAAATCTGTAAATCCTATAGGGCAGACAAATGGAAAATTCCCTCACCACGGTCTCCTGACCCATCCAGTGGCGTCTGTCCGCTTCCATGGCTTCACATGGGACAGCCGCTGTACCTGCTTCTCCCCAGGCATGGGCTGAGCCTGCAGTCACGGCCAACCCCTCTCAATGTGTACACCCCTTTCCTTAGGGGAGGGCTTGGATACAAACCTGGCAAAGGCTTGATGACCTTCTCCACCGCCGCCTGCTCAACCCACCCGCTCCCACTTCTCTGGCCAGAGGGTGGGTCAAGAGCTGGTCATTGTCCACGACCTCAGTCACTCAGCCTTATCAGGCATGAAGGAAGGATGCTAAGGAGGCCGGCCGGGCACTGGGAATCCCAACCTCACGTCACCGACTTACTTTCTTCAGGGCTTTCTCTCCAGCAGCTTTGTTTTCCAGGCCCATGTACAGTCTTCCTAGCTTCAACCACATGGAGGCCACGTTGAGGGAGTACAAAGGATAATGCTTACTGGAAGAAGAGAGAGGACAACAGGCTGCCTTGTCAAAGGCCGCCAAGCAGCGCACAGGCCACAGCAGTCAGCCAGTGGCTGCCGAGCGCATGGCCACACTCTCCACGGCAGCCAGGCTTCTCCAAACCCTGGGAGGCTCTGGGTGGAAGGTGTGGATGGTTCAACCCTGTCTAACCACTTCTAACCAAGGAAGTAGATGCACCTCATTTTATGCAGTTTGTGAGTTTCTGAAAAGCTATATAAAAACTGCAGGAGAAATCCTATACAGAAGCATTTATAAAAACACAACATGCAATCCCAGTCCCAGAGTTTTGTTTCAGGTGCACCCAAAGCAGGGCACTGGGAAAACATCTCTTAGAGTACATTCCCTATTTATGAGGACCTTAGGTCTAGCGCCTCCTATTAACAAGGCAGTATACTTTAAATATACACACGCCAATATGTCTCAAGACCCCAGCTTCCTCTCACACTCTCTGATGTCAGTTGGTTTAGCAAAACTATAAGCTCTCTGACATCAGGAGAACTGTTTCTTCTAGATAGTCTCTCTCTCTTGTCCACTGAAGGGCTTTACATACACAAGGTATTCTCTGTCTGGTTTTAACTGAAGGCTGACTGATGGTGCCTGCCTAGGAAAGAGCCATTCCCTAGGAACAGAGACCAGAAGGCAGCTTGTGGGCAAGAGAGTGTGTGAATGTGTGTGTGTGTGTGTGTGTGTGTGTGCGTGTGTGTATGTGTGTATTGGAGGTATGTGTTTACAGGCTGGTCTGTACTGCTCTACCCTCAAAATCCATCTAAAAGAGACATGTTGTAGCTGTATGCCTGGGCAGGGGGCAGCATGCTGCTTGGAGGAAGCCCTGGGGCCAGTGTCCCCACAGAAGGCCAGAGCTGGGCCTCCAGGAGGGTCTCACTTAGCTGAGGAAGGCTCCAGCACTGCAAGACCCTGCTGGGAGAGGAACCACAAGGCTAAGATGAGCTCATTCATTCTCATTCTCTCTCTCTCTCTCCCTCCCTACAGATCCCACAGAGGGAAGTGTGCATGAGGCTAAAGGACTTCCTCACCCACCCTAAGAAGAAGGATAGGCTTTGAGATTATCCCCAGTGCAGCAAACTGTTTCTAAGAGCAGATTTTAGGATCTCGATTCCCCTTGGGCTCCCCCTGCTGACTACTCAGGGCAGCGAGAGGTAAGTGGAGGGCGACTTGGCAGTGGCAATTCAGACTAGGCACAAACTTCACAGTCCCCAATCTTAGAAGGCAAGGGAGTACTGAGGGCTTCTCAAATTCATGAGAAACACCTGGGGTGCTTCTGGAACACAAGGATTACGGAGATGATCACAGAGAATCTCTAATGTCCAGAGATTCTGATCCACTTGGTCTTGGGGAGACCCAAGACAATTCATAAGGTAAATAAATGTGTTTGACAAGCACCCCAGTGACCCAATCTCGGCCATCCCAGCCATGAAGTAGCTAGTCAGAGCCAGAGGACGATGCCACGACCTCCATCTGTCATCTACTTTCAGATTTAATAACCCTCTCAACAAGAAACTTCCCCGTAGTTGATATTCATTATTCCCATAAGTTAAAACCCAACTTGTTTTATTCAAACCTAGGGGGGATACTGAATAACCACAGCCAACCCAATGGTCCCAGAGTTTCTCCATTTGCAAACTGGGCTGCAATTTTTAAAAGCACAAGGTGGGGAGAGTGTGAATAATGATGGAAAAGCAGGGTTTTTGAGACCACTGCTTACCAATTAAGAAGTACCATTTAACCAGGAAGGCATAGGAGGGAAAAGAAACCAACTGATGGCTTTTTAATACTGGTCTGAACTAACCACTAGGGAGATAGCGCCCCAGATAGATCCTGGGGGAAATCCTGCCCCAGCACCCCCTGCATAACTCAACCTGCCTCCATAGGTGTCTCTTCCAGATGGTGGAGGAAACAGGCTGGGCCCGATGGAGCAGCACCCTGCACTGAACCTCCAGATGTGGGTGCAGAGAAGAGAAAGCTGTTCTAGGCATGTTCCAACACAATACGGTCAAGAGGCAAGACAGCCAGGGTACACATTCCAAATCACCAAATTCCATTCCATGCTAAGATGATGGGAACAGCCACTGCAATCACCTGTAGGGCTTAATGATTTTCTGTCCGTATCTCAGGGCTCCTTCCCAGTCCTGCATGTACAGGCAGACGCCCATGGCCTGGTACATCATGTGCAGCATGTACACGTTACTGTCCTCGAACACCGAGCTCATCTTCTCCTGGCTGAGCTCGCAGATCTCCAGCAGCTCACTAGGGGGTGCTCTGGAGTCAAGGAAACGACAGGCCGGGCCCACCTGGCTTGCAGACTTCCCAGGACTGCCTTCAAGGAGTTATTTCATCCACTCTGCCCCTACCCTCACCCTCCAAAAAAGTAAATTACAGAAAGCCAAGCAAAAGTGAAAGGAATCACATTTTTCTTGAAGAAACAAACTAGGAAAAATGGGAAGACCTCAGCTGTTAAACACAACTCAAGAATTTCAGCCACAGGGAACAGACTCGAGTTCTGCTGTAAACATGGCTGATTAGGGTCACAAATCTTCAATCTTCCAATTAAATTTAAACCCTCACCCAAGCTGAGCACTTTAGCTGAAGCATTTTTAAGGAAGAAGTCCCCACCACGGGAAAGCTTTTTTTACACTGAGAGAAAACGTGCCTTTCTCCAATTTCCTTTTACTGGTTTTAGTTCTTCTCTCAGTAAAAAATCGCATGCCTTTTCAACACCCAAGAAAATGCTATAAGGTAGTGGTTAAGACTATAGATTGTAGTAGTCAGCAGACCTGGGGCAAAATCCTGGACCTGCCATGGTAAACTCTGTCCCTTGGGCAAATTAGTTGCTAGCTAAGAGTCTGTCTTCATCTGCTACAGGGGGACAGAACAGTCCCTTGTGAGTGTCCTTGTGAGATGAGGGGAGATAATACTCAAAGCCCTCAGCGCTGGGCCTTCCCCCAAATAAAATACCCAATAAAGGAGGGCCTTCAAGGAACTGTTCTCAACAGTTTTAGACAATAAAACTCTCCCGCTACATTAAGCTCCTGACCAAACTAGTCAAACAGGGAGAAGTAAGATAAGATCAACATCATAAAACTTTGATGTGGTTGACTCAAGTCATGGGGAGTCACCAAGTCTTTACACATTTTACTAGGAGACATTCTTCCTTCAAAATGCAGAATCTTAAACCCATCTTTCTTTGGTTCCCTCTTCCCAACTCTCCAACACCCCTGTAGCTGAGGGACACCTGAAAGGATATATTTGTAGTGCTTGGCCCTCCGGAACTCCTCGATGACATTGCGCGCATATCTGACCATGTCACGGATGGCTTCTGCCTTAGGGGGATCAGTGAGCTTCCGGATTTCCACCTTGGCCTTATCCTGAGGGAAAGGTCCACAAGTGCAAGGGCATTACCTCCCACGAAACCAGACTGATGGGGAAACCTCTCACATAGCACATTTTCCCAAGCAGAGGTAGAGGCTTGCCCGTTCTAAAGTTACAAAAGAACGACAGGAAATCAGGCAAGGAATCCAAGAGAAATTCAAAACTCCACTACCTTTTTACAAAAACAAACAAATGTATTAATTTTCTAGACAATCCTTATCTAGGCAGGACACCTAGGCCATGTTTCCGACGAGCAGAAATGTGTTAACACATCTACGAATCAAGAGGAGACAATAAGGAGAGGAGGCATCGATAATTTGGGCAATGTCACATAATTTGGGCAACGCCAAAGAATCCGCATATTTTGGTGAATAGGCTGGAAAGCCCGAAAACGATTTTCATGTACTTTTTCCCTTCCCTCTCTTTTGAGCAGTCATTTCTTTTCAAGAAATAGCCATTGGGCAGATCCTCTTCTTATTTGTACAGTGTAACAGAAATGTTTTCATCAGCTACGAGGAGCAGGTTGGAACAGAGACCTGATCTAACCGGATCCCCCTGGCTGTCTTAGTAAGGTGGGTTAAAGAGTCAAAAATACCAAAGGAGGAGACACCCCAAGTCAGACAGGGGCGATCACATGGCAGAAGGTCCTGAGACACAGAGCGTGGGCAGCGCCCTGGCCGGCTCAGGGGGCTCACCTTGTCCCTGGTGGTGCACTCCTGGCACTCGCAGGTGAAGAAGTAAGAGTCTCGTAAGCGGTCATTCCTATCTTCTGTTGGGTACAGGAGATCAATGTAGCTGGTAAAAACCTAAGGGGGTCCAAAAAGTTGACACCTCAGTCTGCTGCAGGTAAACTCGCTCCCTGTCCTTCCTCTGGCTCCGCCAACATCTGTGGTGGTCTGCTTGGAGGTCCTGAGGAGGACCACCGCTCAGGATACGCTCTTTACTTTAACATGCCGAATTCCTTAAACTCAGCAGCCCCTTGGTGTTGCCCTCCTTGGGGTGGACAGATAGGGCTTCTCCTCCCACCTTCGGCAGAAGCAAGGAGTCCCTAAAACAGTAGACTGGAGTAAAAGCACCCTCGCCTCTTTCCTCCCCAAACTTAGGGACGTGGAGAGGAAGCTGAGGACCTGTCCAGCAGATGCCTTTGACTGTGTATGAAAGCAACGGCCGCCGCCCCGCCACCATCCCCGCGGCAAAGACTCCACTCAGCCTTGGAGTTGGCCCTGCGCTGCGTCTGCCTGGCTTCTATTTAGCCTCTTTTAGTTCACAGTCAGGACGGCTCAGATGCATTGCTGGGTGGGTCAAGGGGGAGCATGAACACACACATACTGATATGTTTCCTTTTCTCCTTCCACCAGCTGGCAATGGAGCAAGAAGCTCGGCTCAGCAGGTTGGGACAAGTCAGCATGCTGCTTCTAGGACACAAGCATGCTGCTGCCTTTCCCAGCTGGGCCCAAGAGCTTGGAAAAGTCTTACCTTTGGGCTCCTGGGTCCTCCCATCTTTGCTTTTTTTCCTAATGGGGTCTATAAGAGACTTGGAGCTTACGGAGGAGGCTGGCATTAAACTGCCCATTATCTTCTCATGGGGATGGCTTTGCTGCTCATCCCACACCATCAGGCAAATGTCTGACTGAACAGATGGATGTCACACAGCTGTCAGCGTGCCAGCAACCTCGGGCACTGGCAGGCAGCGGGGGACTCCCAAGGGGCTAGGTGCTGCTCACAGGTGCTGCCAAGCTCTCCCTCACCCAAAGAGCGGTAGGGGAGACCTTGTGGCTCTTCTGACACCCTGGGGAATGAGCTTCTTCCTCTTTGAAGGGCGGGTCACCCCCAAAGCAGGGACTTCCCCGAAACGAGATTACTGCATTTCAGATTTGTGAGAACACTGGGGCAAACCAACAGGAGTAAGCTCTCCCTGCCTCCCGTGGCAAGAGCCTGCCTCAGTTCTTTGAAATGACTGACGGACACAAAGTGCAGCAAACAGAAGGGCCCAGAAGATGGCGACAAAGGCCGCTCAGTGTCACTGCTCAAGGTCCAGACAGAGCCAGGCTAGGTGACTGACTGCTCGTGTCTCCAGTCAGCCCACAGGAGCACGGGGGCCTGGTGACTGACATTCTGATTATAACTGTCTGTTCTAGAGGCATCAGGGCAGTCTCCACTATACATTTGGAAACCAAGACACCCAAACCCAAATCGGGATACCCTCACCATGATGAATCTAGCAACAGGTAGAAAGTCTAATGTGAACACTGGGCTTCAGGTCCCGGGCCAGCTGTGGGTCAGTTAACAAGTTCCAGAGAAAGTAAGACCTTTATCATTTAGCCCACTGATCATATTTAAAATTTAAAATACCCAGACATGCACTCACAATAGCATTAAAGATTATTCAACTGAAATTTAAAGTGTATGATGATATTCCCTAAAAATTTACGTGTCCTGCTAGGGATTTCATTTATCACACATGGAGCAATCTGCCAGGCCAGCCTCTTCGAGGTGAGATGTCTCCGCGAGCAGTCACAGAATCACAGCATGGGAAAGGAAAAGGGAACCACTGAGCAGGGGACAGAACACCGGGTCCTCTCCACGGCCCTAAGTTAAGGAGGGAAGCTAAGGGTGCCTCTTGGCCACAGCCCTACCAGTGGGTACAACCAGCCATGAATGCCCTCCCTAAAAGCCAAGCTCTCCGGAGTTCACGAAGTGAAATGCTGATGTGTTCCTGGAGTTAGAGCTCTTCCACCTCTGCTGAGGTGCTCTTTCTCTTTTAGATACAGTGCTTTTGACCTTTCTTGGGGAGCAAAACAGGCCAAAATTCACTAATCCAAAAGAAAAAAGAGCTCAAATTGAATCGTTTGGCAATAGGAATACCCAGACCCTGAAGAGAATCAAATATTTCACATTGATCATTTTGGCAGTCTTCTTCCTCTATAAATCTCCATAAATCCTTGTGAGGAATTTAATTCAAATTTACTCTTTCCTGTTTTTTTCTTGGCCAAAGATGGAAATGGCGAGCACCAGGCGGAAGACAAAAGTCTGGGACTCTGAGCCACAGGCCACAAATCTGAGCATCAAGCCTGGCGGGTGTGAGGATGGACACAGCGTGACTGCTGGAGCCATTCACAGCCAGTCTTGTCCGGTGAGGCTGTGCTGGTTTTTCTACACTGTCCTTTACAACAGCTGTTTGAAGCACACGGCCACAGCCACCTTTGGCCACACACTCACCTCCTCTCCTGGGTTGATTTCCTGTACAGCTCTTACTTCTGCCAGGGTCCCCTTGTAGGTCACAATGACATTGGGGCAACAACTATGATTCATCAGTGCAACACTGTCAATCAGAAGAGAAAACCCAATATTCTCAGTGAGGCAGACAGACTGTTCAGGTAACTCCTTGGCTACTTACTTGCTAAGTTACAGGAACTGGGTTTTTGCAAGACATTAACAAAAAAATCTAATATTTGGCCATCGTATTTGAGGAGGTGGTTCTGCATGCATTTATAGTAATATCTAACATCTTAAACTTTAACAATATTGAAAAGGGAAATGTGCAATTCCAAATGGTGACGTCTAAACCAAAAACAAAGAGCACACAACAATAAAAACAGCAGAACAACAAATCCCGCAGAAATTCCTTCCTGTTAGAGGCAGGACTCAAAACCCAACTCCTGCAGTGAACTGCTCCTCCACCGTGCAAGACAAATGGGTTGTTATTTCCAAGCACTTTTTATAGTAGTGGATTATTTCTACCATCTTTTCTTCAGATGTTGAGAAATCGCCACGGTGGGAGATGCCAGCTTCCTAAGCGAGGGCTTGTGATCCCCCCAGAGACCTGGAGAAGCCCATCTGAGTCTCGCGGCACCTCAATTTCCTCATCTGGAAAATTGGGACACCACTGTTCCTGCTGCTCGCTGTCTGATTTTCAGGGCCGGCGAGGATAGAGAGATTCGCCTGTGCGAGGGGCTTTGAGCTTTCTGATTATATCAAGGTCAAAGTTCTGAGAACAGAAATTTCTAAACTACAGGGGAAAAGTGCTTGATCTCTGAAAATGCTGCCTTTGAAATCACAAGGCCGCTATGATTTCAGCCCAAAGGGATTTTTCCCCCAATTAAAACTGCCTGGAAACTGGGGCTCATATGGGCACTCACATCCATATGTATCACTGCTCTGGTGGCCGGTGTCACCTGCCTGAACCCTCAGTGACCAAAACCCCTCTCCTGTTTACCCCCAAAATACAAAAAAGCCAAGGAGTTGCAAAGCCTGATGAGGATGAGCTGCCCTGGGTTGTCTGGGTACGAGGGGGAGCCGTCCTCCACCGTGGGGTTGCTAGAGGGCTGAGTGACGTTAGTGGCTGGCCGTGAGCCTGGGACAACATGTAGCAACTTCCTTGTTTTGTCTTTGGGGATGGTCACCTCCGCCCTGCATCACAGCCCACCTGGCTCCCTAGTAAGTGGTGCACAGGGAACCAGACCCTAGGAAATACACAAATGCACCCAAAGTGGTTATTAACGGAAAAGCAGATTTCTAGAACCATCTTGCAGAAGTATTAAGTAATTCATTTCAAGACAGCTCCTCCATATCTTTTTAATGAAGGTGGGGGAAAAGGACCATAAGGCAAAGAACCTAAAACAACTCATGCTCTTGGTATCATTATTGTCTTGGCCATCATGGAAAAGGACGAAACAATACTGTAACTCTTATCCTTTCTTTCCGTCTTTAAGATACTGAGAGCAGAGACATTCCAGAGTTCATTTCAGGTTGTCAACAGGAGCCTTTCTTTTTTTCTTCTTCCTTCTCCCAGGGCAAAAGTTCAAAAGAGCCTTTCTCAAAAATACTTGTTTCCTCACTATTGGAATTCAAACTGCAGATGACACATTTTGGCCATAGGCTAGTAATATTACGTGAATAAATTTTTTTGTTTCTCTGGTTCAAGAAAGCCTATGACAGCTGCTCACGAGGCACAGAGCTGTACAGATCCATCCTTATGTTTCAGACCTGTACAAGGCCCAGAGCTGGGCAGCAACAGACACACACACACCAGGGGCGCACACATCACCCATGGCTAACGCACGGGTGTTAAGAGTTTCCTCCATCTGCTTCACCCAAAAGCCAAGGGGTCCTGTAGTACATATTAAGCAATTCCACTTTAGATGGAACTAATCCACACTGTGGATTCATTTAGACAAGGGATGCAGGAAGGGTTCCTCTGCTCCATTTGTAAAGAGGGGGCTTGATTTCAGGCGACTAAAGCGTTTTGAAAATACCCTTTCCGTCAAAGAGACAATGGCAAAGCCATTCTTGGCAATCTACTAAAGTCAGAGCCATAAAGATCTCCGTTTGTCAACTGGCTAGCCTTTCTTGAATTACTTGAGTATTCCCGAAGTAGAGAAAAAAAATCCTATAGTTCTTTGAAATTTTCCCCTCGTTCACCACTTTAGCATATTCTCCCTCCAAACTGTGCTGTGTCTATACTGGTATTTTTCAAAAACAACAGATGGAGAAGAAGCTCATATATTCCCTACAGAAGCCTATGGCCAATTCTTGGTTGCAAATTACTGTTTTACTTTTGAGTAAAAGAAACCCAAAGATTTCTAGAACGACAGATATGCAAAAAGCAAATTTCTCAGCAGGGCATGGGCTGTTCCTTCTGTGCACACTTTCAAATATTCTTTAATAACAGCTCTCTGCCCAGCAGGACTTAACAAGCAACTGTTCTCTTAACTACTACCTTCGGATCCTTAAATGGAGGGGAAATATTCTGAACTCTGGCAGAATTAAAAGGGCGTCTTAATTCACTTGGACTTTCATGTCTACCACACGCAGTTAGGCAGGTTGTTTAGAAATTTTTTACAAAAATCAAATTAGTGTTAAAAATAAAAGTAAAAAGACAAGAAATGAAGTCAAACTCCGCTTACTCGGGAAATATGGCTGATCCCAAATGAGAAAGTTCTTCGTCTTCGATTGTGAAGCCATTACAGTTAACCTGCAGTGAGGAAGGAGGAGAAAGAAAGAGAAAACTGAGCTAAAGCTTCTCTCTGGCTAGAAATCATTTCTTTTATTTTAACAAATTAGCTAGGAAGATGTTCTGGTTTAGCGATCGTCAAACCTTTCTTTTGGCCACAGTCTCCTTTGTTCAAACAAACTTTAACCATCAGTCACATGTGTAAACAAATAAAAGGATTGTCAGGGTTCAGGCCCTCCTTGGTCCAGCCTTCCCACCCACGTACACACAGTGGCCCAAGAATGCCACAGCCCCCTAAGGCTCCAAGGACTGAAGTCTGCATGTACGCATGGGAGTTAGGGCACCTGCGGTCTAAGCCCAGTTATGCCACAGATCTGTCATGTGATCTTCAGCCCATCACTGAGTGCCTGTCCTCGATTTTCTCCCGTTAAAAAAAAGCCACTTAATCCCCTGCCCATCTCATCCGGTCAGGTAGTAAATATGAAAGCCCTTATACAGCTAATCTAACTGCTCTCTATCCCCTTGAGAGGCAGAGAGGTCAAGGGCCTGAACTTAAGGAACTCAGACCTTTATTTCACATCTCAGCCAAATCAACCACTGGCCACTTTCTCATCCTTGAAAAGAAATGTTGCATTGAAAAATACCAAAGGCAACTCTCACTGTTCTGGAAGTCTAACTTAGAGCTAGCAGGCTAACAATTAGTAGTATACATCCTCAATTTTATGTTGTTCCATAAATTCATTCTTTCCGCAGACATTCATTGAGAGCCCTTATGTGCTGGAGGCGCTGTGCACAGAAGGATGAACGGGCCCAAACCCGTGCCCTCAAGAAACACCCAGTCTATTGGGAGATAATTCAGTGAGTGTTTCTCATTTGTATCTGAAATTTCAGAGTTGGAAGGGGACTCAGTCTCTTTACTTTTGAGATGGTGAAACTGAGGTCAGAGAGGAGCAGTGACTTGCCCAAAGCCTGGGGTAAACGCTGAGAGCCCTGCTCCTCCCCAGCTGCTGTGAAGGCTGTCTGTAAGGCATGTGTGCTGAACGATTTCATCCTGTGGGCTGGAACCATGCTCTTCAACACAGGAGAGCGCACTGGCACACTTCAGGCCAATGGATGGACTTTTTAAAATCAACATCCACGGAGCATTTATTCTGGACCAGGCACTATGCTAGGTACTGCATACTACCTTCTCATAAATCGTCAACACTACCCTGGCATAATCCACTTTACAGATATGGAAACTGAGGCTCAGGGAGGTCAATGATTAAGTAATTTGTCCAAGGCCATATAAGTAGCCAGCGGCAGAACAGGAGTCAGAATTCAAACTAGACACTCTGACAGCAAAACACAAATGTTTCTTTCCACTACACCATGTTTCTTCTAAAACTGTTCTGATCTATGAACGTCCACGTGGCAATTTTACTTAAAATTAAAGGGCCAACGTCAAAGGCTTGGAAGTCTTGGTACACAGAGAAGTAAAGGCTATGATGGGTTTGACTTGTACTTTTTACAATTCAACATATTTACAATCGTGTTTACCATTTTCAGCACAAAAAGAGACGATCACTGCAGGTTAGCAGAACCATACACAGCCTTTGTAATGCTGAGGGGCTAAGCATTTTCTAAGTAGAAAACTTAGCATACTGTTTTTTGTGCCAACTTCAGGTACCCTAACTTATTCTGTCATCAGGACATTAACCAGTTACCATTAACCTACAGCCATCAATCAACATTAGGTAAGGGTATATGAGGATATTCATTCATTCACTAAAATCTACTGGAGCAAGAACTATGCGTCTTGCACCTTACTAGGTACTGAATGATCCATATACGGCCTCAGACTGGACACTACGATGCCTCAGCAGTGTCTGGTACCCACGAGAGCACAACAAATGTTTGCAGAATGAAAACAATGAATGAAAGAATTTAGCAACAATTTTCACAACCAATCAAGGGACAGAGCTCCTGACTAACTCTAAGGGCTGGGAGACTTTGCCTCTTCGCCTCTTAGCCTCTTCCTCTGCATGGAGCCCAAGTGGACCAGCCTATGACTCCAGATTCCTTCAGGCTCGAATGTTCCGTGACCATCGGTCGGTTTATTCCCTCTGCCCTCCTCCTCTTTCTGTGGAAGAGTGAGGGTGTTACTTCATAAGTAAAGGCTCCTGTAAGCACAAGTGTCATCACTGTTCCTTTCTGGGAGGTGGTGATGATGTTTAAGCCAAACTGCATAGCAATTTGCCTGCTAGAAGGAAAGTGAACCTGCGTGTTAAGAAAGATGCATGGGCCATAAGCCTTTTTTTCAAGTCAAACCAGGCGTAAGTGCTTTGCTGAAGCTATTCTCATAATTAGCATTTAGACTAGATGTAGGCTGCACACCAAAAATACATTTCCCAACCATGCATATGTTCCCAGTGATTAAAACGCACCTCAGTGCTGTCGGAGGAGGACGGTCACCTTCTGCTGCCAGCTGTTGCTGGGCCACAAGTTAACCCACAACACCCTCTCATGAACCAGGAGGAGGAAAGAACTGAAAAGCTGGAACAGCGGACATGCAGCTGGGGGCTGAGGGGCAGGACCAGAGGGTGGCGTGGGGCTGGAACGGCATTTTTCATTTTTGCTTTAGATTTTTCTTTGGGGATACAGAATGCCCCTTTCAAATTTACATAAGAAAAAAGATACATGCGTGTGTGTATGTGTGTATATACAATCTCAGGATGGATATTATGATTTGGTAAATATAAATATAAAGTCTATAAAGGAATTAATTATCTATAGTTATATCTGTGTGCGTAGGGGTGTGTGTGTCTTTTTCCTGGATTTTCTGAGTCAGTCCAAATTTCAAAGACTCTGAGTCATTTTCACCACAAATATACTTCTGCTTGTGAGAGAAGCGCCTTGATTCTTGGTTAGGAAAATATGGGCCCACATCTACTACACCAACACTGAGAAGTCCTGTCAGCAGGCGCTTCTGTGCTGGAGGAAAAGTGACCTTTTTTCCAGAGCTAGAAGTAAAGAGACCCTATATTTATTTCTTCTCCCACATAACCATGCTTCATCTAATCCAGAAAAAAAAGTCAGGTATCTAGTTTTTAAAAATATATAACAGAAGTCAATTCCTGAACCTTCCACTCTCACCCAAATCCAGCGTCTGAGGACACTTAGGCAAGTATGATGCAAATCCAGGATGATAGGATGAAAATCAGGAAGGTTTCTTATCACTTCTAGTTTAACACTTATAACTGGGACCTATTTTTCCTTTTACAAAGAACGGCATTTTTTTCTGATTATGACAGTCACACGACAGAACTCTATCTATAGAAACATAAAGTCTATCAAGGAATTCACCAAAAGGCTAACAACGGTTCCCTTAGAGGTGAAGCGGGTGGGAGAAGGAATGCAGACTCACTTCTTTCTCCTTTATATGCGTCATTTTTAAAGTGGAAGGAAGAATTATGAGTGTTTTTTTTTTTTTTAAAGATTTTATTTTTTCCTTTTTCTCCCCAAAGCCCTCCCGGTACATAGTTGTATATTCTTCGTTGTGGATCCTTCTAGCTGTGGCATGTGGGACGCTGCCTCAGCGTGGTCTGATGAGCAGTGCCATGTCCGCGCCCAGGACTCGAACCAACGAAACACTGGGCCGCCTGCAGCAGAGCGCACGAACTTAACCACTCGGCCACGGGGCCAGCCCCTATGAGTGCTTTTTATCTTTTTCTTGTTTTCAGTGTTTTCTTAAGTTATAAATGCTCATTGTAGAAAATCCAGAAAATCATCCAAAGAAAAAAAGGAAAACTTTCCGACAACTCAGAAGATAACCAACTGTGAACTTCCATTTAATCTTTTCCTAAGTATATATGTACATTTTTATATTATACACATTTTTTATTCTGCTTTTACATTTAACGTATCATCAATGTTTTCCCATGTCTTTAGACATTCTCTGAAATATAACTTACAAAGGTTATATAACTTTCCACCATAAGGCTATGCCATAAATTATACACCAAACTCCTACTGATGGCCATTTATAATATTTCTTTCTCTTCTTCTTTTTTTTTTTTTAAAGAACCCCACAATACAAAATTTGTGTGCCAATCTCTGACCATAATCTCTGATTATTTCCTTAGGACAGGTTCCTGGAAATGGAATTACTGGGTCAAAGCTTATTCTGCTCTAAGTCAAAATTTGTTCTAAGACAAAAATATGTAAGGACCCACCCAAGCTCTTATGTTTCTAGAGACTGAAGTTTCTGGCAGGGGAATGTAGCTACTTGCACCCATCAAGCAGTACTCCAGTATTTCTCTGTCTGGGAAGGTCACCTTCAACTGGATGCCCAGCTTGTAGGGGAAAACACAAGGATGTATGAGGGAGAGAAATCCAGTCTGGCAAGTTGTGCCAGGAAGGGCCACTCTTGAAATAACAGGGAGACTGAAACAGCCAGATCACGCATTCAGCCGAAAGGTGACACCTGCTCCTTCTTCCCTTGTCCTAACAATGTCCCAGCTTTGGCCTTTCCACACGGCTGGTTTCCAGTTCTTCAGTCGCTTTTAAGTTCCTCTTGTCTAGAAGCCTCTCTAATTTTTTATTATATCTGATTTTGGTAAACCTAGGCTTCTCTAAAGGAAATTTCTTAGCAACCGTCAGGAAAGACTTCAGGTATTAGACCCACCTGGGCTCCTCTCTATGGTGACTATCTATCCTAGGGCCATCAGAGAGAGCCTCCCACTTGGGGACATCTGTATACACCTCTGCTTTGTCAACACAGTGGTGGGGGGAGTAAAAAAAAAAAGCACGACTGTCAGAATGGAAGGTTTAAGAGGAGGAAAGTAAAATGTAATGTAGGCGCCTCAAATGGTCTTCTCTTTTCAAAGATCTTACAGCACCGGGGCTCCGGCAACTCCTCTGTTTTTATAAACTCTCCAGCAGCAGCAGAAGCAGAGGCAAACTTCCTATGCTCCACCCATCAGTGAGGGCCAGCCGAGAGAGGACCTGAGCCGCTCAAGGTCACCTAGCAGGCTAAGCAAAACAGGGTCCAACAGGTCAAGAGCCTTGTCGTCAAGTTGATCCCATCATTCTATTTCCATTCAACTTCACTGACTGTGTGCTGGGGAGAGGGGCTTGGAAAAGGAAAGGCTAGACTAAGTGTTACCTGATGCTGACCTTCTTACCTGAGCAAAGAGTACTACCAGGCTATCATTGTCAGGGAATTCAAGGTGCTTGGAGTAAAAGTGATGGAGAGCGGCAATGTCACTCTGAATCAAATCCTTCTTCTCATTGTCTAATTTCTCCAGATCTGTGGATGAACAGTCCGTTATTCACCAGGTAGAAAATTCTTGATTTCTAGCTACATCCTTTTTTTCACTTTAGTAAGTGGCATGAGGGGAAGGAAAAAAAATGTAGACCCCTAGAAAATGTTCTTCCCATCACTTGGTCTAACTGATATGCCCTGAGGGAAGAAGGGCATGCCATTTCTTTCTCCTCTTCCTCTGACAACTGGAAATCACTCAGCACATGAAATTTCAACTGACCATTAGCAATGAGGTCAGGAATAAGTGGCAGTGACTGATAAACAGCTTCAGTCTAGTCAAGGGCCCCCCAATTGGCCGTGGAATCAGTGTCATGGTCAAGAAACTGGATGGCCCCTGATTTAATGCCTTTCATTAAGGACATTAGCTGTTTACAGGACTGCAATTCAGCAAAGGCCCAAAAATATTCAGCATGCCAGGAGAGCCAGCAGGAGATAGCTTGAGACGCAATCCTTCATCCTGCGAGTTCCTCCTTTCCCTGAATTATTTCCTAGTAATCCTGTCAACTCAAAAAAAAATTATAGTCATTTTTCAAAACAGCATACAAATCTAAATAAAAACTAATAATTAAGAAGTCATCACCATCACTAAGAATACAAGCGACCCCTTTCTTCCTTCAGTCCCGCCTAATCCACAATAAATGTGTGGCTAAAATAACTCCTCAGCCAGTCACAGGAATACTTACGTGATTCAAACTCCTTCACAGCTAACAGTTTCTCGGAAGGTGTTCTCTCGGCATGGATTTTCTAGTAATTGGGGAAGAAATCACGCAGATACAGATTTTAACAACCAGTGCAGAAAGTGGCACTTTCACTTTTACATCCACATGAAGAAAAAGCAACAATTCTCAATGAAGTAAAGAAGGCCATCCAAGGAGTCCGCCACTGGGGCCCTGAGAGTGTTTGCCCAACACCGAAATCCAAAAGACTCTTTTGAAAAGCTTTTTAAAGTGTCTGCCGCGTTCCTACCACTCTGATAATGCCCTGCACACAGTAGGCTCAAAAATGCTTGTTATGGGAAAGAACACTGGCTAGAAAACAACTTTTTAGGGCCCCGACTTAAAAGGACTGAGTCGGCAGATGAACCATCCTATTTATTATTTCTCCTTCTAAAAAGGAACAAAATCAAACCCCCCATCCATTTTACACTTTCTTTAAGCATAGGCTAAAATGATCTCAAATTCTGTGTTTCAAAAAGAACACTTTTGGTTGTATCTGTGAGCCCGGATTCACTTTAAACGTGTTGCTGGCTTTGTTCTAGACACCCCAAGAGGAGCTAACAATAGTAAACCCGCTAGGCTTTGAGGACATGAATAAACTTGGTGTTGACAAGAGTTCAAAAGCAGAGCTCAAGAGCTGGCCCGAGGCCGCGTCTTTGTAATCTGGCTATTCAATTTGGGGATACAGGTGGTCTGGCAGGGCGCTCTCACCTCCCTAGTTAACATGTTAAGCTTCCCCTTGGTAGTTGGGTAGCCTGTCTCCCCTAATCCTTTGCAAGCTACTAGAATACAAATGGTCTGCTTTTTTAATCATCAAGTCCTATAGAGATGAAAAGATGGCCAGGTAACTTTCCATTTAATAGACTATTAGTAGGAGCAGTAATTATAATAAAAGTTGAATGAAACTGGTATAAACTCATCATAGCATTCCGACCTCCCTCCTGGTGCCAAAATAGTTCAATAGTTCTTTTTTGGAGTCGAAATCTTCCATTCACGGGATACGCTCCTAAGATTCATAAGTCATCTTGCCTGGGGAGGCTTTTCATTCAGGAAAGTACACCAGCTTCTTCTGAATTCTTACCCTCAACATTATAAATGACATCAATGAGTTGGGGGTGGGGGAACCAGCAGATTGGTCACTCAATGCTCCCCAGATGCTCAGAGATCTAATCTGATGGTTTATTTACCCGATGCCTCACCCGATCACACCAGTTCCTCCTACCCCTTCCTTCTGACCAAGGACTCCGCACGTATTTAAAGATAATTGCTACTGAGGATCCCAAAGTTAACCTCCTCCAGGGAAAACAATTCTGATTTTTCGCTCTCACTTCACAGGCAACCCTTGAATGCCTTCGGTTACCCTGAGCTGGTGAAGTGGCATTTCTGCAGGCGCCTGACCCAAGCTGAACAGAACGGAACAATGACCTCAGAGGTCAGAAATGCTTGACTTCTGTTTATGCGGCCCAGGATCCTGACTTGGTCTGGGGACAGCTATGTGCTACTCATTACCATCACATTTGGCTTGGATAAAAAACAGAAAATTGTAAAGGTTGGGGAGGTGGCAGGTATAAAGAAGATGTGGATGAAATTTCAGCTTTAAAAGACTGACAGGACAGAGGCCTTCCCTACTACTAACTGATTATTAGCGAGCACCTCCAAGGAGAGATACCTCCTAAGCACACGGCCTATTTCATTGGGTCACAGGGACAAGTCCTATGGGGTTTGGAGACCGGGCATCACATTATCATGTGATCAGTCAAGACTGACCAAACCCGGGAAGGCAGCCAGCGCCGCATCATCTTTGGAGGAACTGTTTGATGCCCATTGTCTATGCCCACCAGAGGCACTTCTTTCTTTCCTCCTTCTTCTTCCTTTTACCCTCTTCCTCTCTCCCCTTGCCTCGATTTCTACTTTTCCACTCCTTCTCTTTTTTCTTCTTTGCATATGCCACGCTGGTTGTTCCATCCCACTCCTTGCCTGCCTAGGCACGAGCAAGCCAGGAGACAGGGAAGAGAACGACATGGCAGAGGATGGTGAGGGGGCGGGAGGGGAGTGGGCAGCATGCTCTCTGTCAGAAAGAAAAGGGGAAAATCTCGAACCCCCGCAGGCCGGTCGGTCAGGTTCCCTAGGACGCTCTAACTATTTTCATTCCGGTTTCCATGCCTTGAAAGGCCATATTTTTCTATGTAAACCTGTCTCATGAAAAGCTCAGAATTTAATGGCTGTGGCTATGTTCCTGGCCTGGGACAGGCGACATCTTAGTTGCACAGGGCAAATTCAAACCGGTTTATGCCTGGAGTGCTGTTCCCACCCCTGTCCATATGGATGTGACAGGAAATAGAGTCCAAGAATGTTTGAAAGAATGTTTCACAAGAGATGATCACCATAAGTCAGTTACTCATCTTTCTGACCTTGAAGAAAAAAAATAAAACAAAATGCACTTGAATATGATCCCATTTCCTCACCTGTTTGGCCAGAATCCTTGCAGTTAGCCTTACGGTCTCTGAGGGATTCCAGTTCTCCCCAAAAACAACCATGGGAGAACATTCCAGCTTGTGCATGGGCCAATCTTCTTTCTGGAAAGGTTAAAAAAAATTATTAAAAACACACACACACTCTGGAATAAAGTGCAGGAAGAGAGGACACAGTAAGTCCTCCTAGTTAAGGTCAAGTGAAATATGTTTCCTTTTGGAAAACACGACGATGCTCACAAAAGCTAGAGAGAAAAACATCCTTTAAGATAGATATGGTTGTTTAACCTTGACTCGGGCCCGGCCAAGGTTGTTGGGATGAGAAAATGTGCTTTGTGCTTTTTCATCAAGCATCTCATGTCTTTCATCTCGCTCCTCATTATTCCAAACAACACATATACATTTCCACTATCTGCGGAAGTTGTCGACTCATAGGAGTGAGTGATTTGGGCATTAGCCATTGCTTTGGCTCTGCTCCCTTACAGTTGTGTTCCGGCTCTGACAGTGGACAGACCCAACAACTAGTCCCCTTTTATAGGTGACAAAAATGGAACACAAATGAGGGCTTTGTCAAGGGCTCTCAAAGAATCCGTTATGGGCACCTACTGGGAATATCTAGGAACACAGACTTCCTAAAGATTCATTTGACCAAATAGGAAAACGATTTCTTTCTATCACATGCCTTGAAGCTTTTATTGCCCAGGTTGAAGGGCGAAGGATGTACACTCGTGACTGGAAGGGTGGAGACGCCATCAACTGAGACGGGGAAGGCTGAGGGAAGAGAAGGACAGCACGGGGTTGCGGAGGCCGGGAAGAAAGCGCTCTGAGGCGGCGGCCGTAAATGATGATGCTAGCGCTGGTGACAGGGTTAGCGTGGGATGCCTGAGAACTGATGGCACATCATGGAGGTCATGGCTGACTCTGATAAAAACCAGTTTTGGTGACATGATGAGGATGAGAAGCTGCTTGGAGTGGATTCAAGAGAATGGGAGGAGATGTGGACACTGGGAGAAATGGGGCAAAGGCACAGGGGACGGAGGAGGGGGAGTTATCTTTGGGATGAGAACTATCAGAGCACATTTTGGTACTGATGGGAGTCTTTGCACACTCTCTCACAGTGGAATGGGGTACTGCCTTGTTCTTCCCTCAGCCTTTCCCATCTCAGAAAACAGCAAGTCCATTCTTTCAGATGCTCAGGCCAGATATCCACAGACTCCTTGCCACCTCTCTCTCCCTCACACTCCGCATCCAGCTGTCTGGAAAATCCACCGTCTCTGCCTTGAGAACACATCTAGTCTCATCACTTCTGACCACCCCCACCTTCCTACCCTGTCACAGCCCCGACGCCTCTCATGGAATTAGCCCTTGCCTTCTACCCAGTGCCCACTTCTGCCCCTGCCCCCTACCAACTGTGGTCAGTAGAGCAGCCAGAGTAATCAATCCTATTCAACAAAACTCAGATCATGCCAGTTCTCGGCACAGAACCATCTACTGGCTTCTCACCTCAAAGCAAAGGCAAAGTCCTAAAACTGACTTACGAGGCCACACAAGATGGGAGACCCATCCGCTCCTCTGACCTCATCATCTCCTACCAGGCTCTCCCTCGCCTCACTCCACGTCGCCCACACGGTCTCCTTGTCCTTTGAACAGACCAAGCACGCCCCTGCCTCAAGACCTCTTACGATTGCTGTACTTCCCAGCTAGAACCCTCTCCCCCTAGATGTTCATATCGCTCCGTCCCTCACTCCTCCAGGTCTTTGCTCCAATCTCACCTCTTCAAGATACCTGCCATGAACACTCAGTCAAAAACAGCACTCTCCCCATCACTCTCCGTCTCCTGGCTTTGTGTTTCTTCTTAGTACTTCTCACCGCCTGATATATTACATTATTTATTAGTTTTTTGGTTTAGTATCTGTCTCCTCCCATTAAAACAAAGGGACTCAGTCTCTTTCGTTTGCATGCATAACCCCAGAACCTAGAACAGCGCCTGACATTTACCAGGCACTCAGTAAAGTTGTTGAATGAATGAAGATGTCTCCCTCCACCCTCCCCTCCACCCCCATCCCAAGGAGGAAGCACATGATGCCACTAAGTGATTTACTGAAGTATGTACATGGTACAGAACCTTGGCTCAAATTCTGTGCCGAGATGTTCTGCAGAGTTCAATAACGCTGTGCCGAATATAACTAAGAGCAGGGAGAGGAAGAAATGACAAGACATGCACAAGGAGAAGAGGATCTGTTTTTAGCCAAAGTCTAAAATGACAGCACAGTGATGAGGCAAAGAGGTAGGAACAGGTGGGTCCAGCTCCCTGCAGACAAACCAGCTCCCTCTCCAGATGCAAAGCAAAAAGGAAAAGACAGAGGGCTTCAGGCCTGGGGATATCTGAGGGAAATGGAGACCACCAGCCGGGGACAGATGGATAATTAACATCTATGAACAATCGTCCGCTATGACCCGGGAACTCGAAGAGAAGGGCTTTGCAGGGCCTTTAAGATGCTGGTTTTCTAAATTATAGGTGGTGTCTTTGGTGTTTAACAACCATGAGCTCCTGGGAGAAAGTTTAATATTAACCTTTCTTAATATGATTCAGTTATTATTTATTAATAGAATTAATTTATTAATATAATTAATATAAAATTAATGTTAATATAAATAATACAATGTTGACATTTATTGATGCAAATGTCCTCAAAGGGAAGAGAGGCTAACTACAAGGAACGCTCTGGGAGGAGAGCAGAGTGCTGTCAAGCAGGAGGACACCGTTCTGGGGCTCTCAGGAAACCTACATTCTTATCCCTGCTCCTTGGCAAAGAAGCTACATGACACTAGGCAGGACTCTTAATCCCTGTGCATCTGTATCCCGGGCTGTAAAGAACATGATCCCTAAGTTACTTAGCAGGTCCGGAATCCTGAGTCTAGGATTTTACACCTTCCAAGAGTGATAATCAGACACATAGATTGAAGAATACCAAGAAATGCAGGACCTTCAAACAGGGATAACCAGGCATTTGTGCAACCATAAAAGGTCATTGTGAGCATCCAGTAAGCTCCTCCACGAGAAGCACTTAGAACAGCGCCTGGCACACCGTGCACTCTCAACAATGTTGGTAACTGTTCATTTACTGGCTCATTCATTCATTCAATAAGGCCTGCAACGGACCCGAGAGGCAGGGATGGGAGATGAAGTCTCTGACTTTAAGTAGTTTCTGACTATGTCAGAACACAAGGTCGAAGTAAGACAACCTGTAATGTCCCACACACAGCAGTTAGATCAGAGAGCTGGATAAATTCAAGGAAATGCAGAATGACGTAAGTTGTTCAAGGGAAATTCACCAGGATAATAAATTGTCACTTTCTGTTGGAAGGTGATGAGAGATGTGGATTAAGGGAGGATTGACAGAGCTGTATCACAGGGGCACTACTCAGCTTAATTATTAAAAAAGAAAGGTAGAGGAGGATGGCGTCTGGAAGAAATGTCAGATAGGTTCTGAGCAAATCTCAACACACCTTCTTCATTCATACAGATGGTTCGCACATCTTAGAGAAACTGACGGGCAATTTGCCCATAAGAAACTACAAACAGCTTGGACAAAATTGAAAAGGAATTTCAGCCAGCCTGATGAATACGAATGAATGTTATCAATTTATAGTTTGTTTTTGTTCTTGTTTTCTTAGTAGTGGCAGTTTCTTTGTACAGAGAATGGTTTTGCAACACTTTATGCTTTTTAAAACATTTTTGTCAGTTTTTCTAAAACTTTTTCTACTATGTTTCTTCAAAAGTCAAGCTATTACTCCTGCCACGATTGCAATCTTTATAAAATTTTATGTAAACTTGGATCCCATTTTCCAGAAAAATAATACAGTCATGCGCCACATAACAACGTTTCAGTCAACTACAGACAGCACATATGACAGTGGTCCCATAAGACCAGTACCATGTCGCCTAGGTGTGTATGGGCTATACCACCTAGATTTGTGTGTAAGGACACCCTATGATGTTCGCACAATGAAATCGCCTGACGATGCATTTCTTGGAATGTATCCCTGCTGTTAAGCGACACGTGACTGTATATAAATAAATGCATACATAGGAAGGATTCAGAAAGACAGCCGCCAAAGTGCTACCAGTGATTTTCTCTGGAAGGATAAGATTATGGAGACTTTTTCTGTTCTTCTTTCAGTCTGTACCTTCTGATTTTTCTATAATGAGCATAGATGATTTGTGCAATAAACAAACAAATCTACGTAAAAGTAAGACGGAATTTTTTTGTATCCTTTATAAACTTCTAATTCATTTTCAGCCACTGTAATAACAACTCTGCATGATTTTGCTTTTTGTGCTTGGACAAAAATGCTTAAAGATGCAGAGAGAGTTGCAAAATTGTCTCAGGGTGTACCAGCATCTCCCACACTGGAAGAAAAGAGTGATTGTTACGTCCTCCAGTTTTCTGCTAAGCAAATGATACATTGTCTTCCTGGAGAAGCAGATCGGATTTTTATTGTGAAGTCCCCTTTTCTAACTCTTGCATTCGGTGTTTCTCTTGTAATGGAGCTTCCAAAACAGACATAGTCTACTTGTACACATGCATATGTGATTTCCTGAAATGTGGAATAGCATGCATATGTGATCTCTTAAAATGTGGAATGGTAAGAAAATGCCACAGGATTTCTGCTTTCCATTACATTACCTTCGAGAGGAAGAGTGCAAAAGGAATCAGGTCCATACAGACCAACTCACACAAAATGACTACTGTCACCGAACCCCAGCATGAGGACAGAAGCTTTGTTTTATATTTCCATAAAAGAGTGATGGGATTCATTCATTCATACACATTTTTTCCTACCAGTGACGTTAAACACTTAGAAAGAAGAGTGGCTTGGTTGAGATGCTTCCTATGTCTGGGTTAAGAGACCAAAGCTAATTTAACGAGGATTAGACCTACGACTCTGGCCCCACTCACTAACGACCCACAACAACGACAAGGTCATGTGAGCATTTCTCAAACATCTTCTACATTTCAGTTATTTTCTAGTTGATCAAAGTCAAGAATTTTCTCACATCTTGAGTCACATGCTCCTCACACAGGCTTTTTTTATCCCCATCGGGGCACGCTCCTTCCTACTTCCAAAAGCACACTCATAGCCCATGACCTCCATTTCCAAAACACAAACAGATTTTTTTCTATTTGTTAATGTTTAAAAAATAATACCCTACATGCAACCCTAGAATGTTCTCCTCCACAGCGATTCCTCTATACAATAACTCTCTAAAACTATTCTCTTGAACGTGTCATGGTACAATTTAATGAAGAAGTGTGAATAACACACTTAGCTTTCTAGGCATATTTATAAAAATAAATAGAGTTCATTAAAACACACAGGTTACAAAACAAGCCTAACTAAAAAGGAATTTCGATTTCTTTTATATTTCCTCCCATTATCCTTTCATGCATCATCAATTAAAATCTTTCCTCTGGCAGGATCACACTGAGTCAAGTGAATGAAGAGGGAAGTAAACAGGACGAGACACCTATAGTCAGATTATATAAAATAAAGCAAAATCCTAATGCACCGAAGATAGAACAGAATAAACATAGTGACTGGGATCTCCCAAGATGCTGTATTCTGTCGAAACAGGAAACCCTCCAGGAGGAACATGTGCCTTGGCCCTCTTGGAGAGGTTTCTGGCAAAGACAACAGCACTGAAGGGGCTCTTGGATTTCACGTCCATCAAAGGCCACTTCTCTTTCTTTTGACACATTCCCTCAGCACCTCTTCTCCTGGACGGCCCTCAGGACTCCCAAGCAGAGCGATGGGAAGTGGAGAAAGCCCTCCCCTAGCTACAGTCTAGTCCCAGTTCTGCCACTGTGTGACCTTGGGCAGGTCACTCAACCACGGTGGACATTGTTTCCTTATCTACAGATGAGTTGGATCTGACAAGCTCCATTCCAACCCCACCATCTGCTGTGTGATAGAGACCACCTGTGACTCCAGGTGGGGGAGGTCGACCTTTGAAGAAGGCCCAGTTAAGCATGGGCAGCTGAAGGCCGTGCTTTCCTAGGGGAAGAATCACTCAATCACCTTCCTCATCACTGCTCTTGTTTTGTGACACATTTTATCTTGGAGCAGTCTCCACTTTGATCCCATCCAAGCATTCCTTTAGGCAGAACCCTGAATACATTTTTATCTGGAGTAAATGTCCCAGATTCCTCCCTAATGATTTTACGTATGAAGCCCTTGTACAGCCATTTATTCCTAGGCATTTACTTTTATTAAACCTTTATGACCACTCTCTCTCATTATCATACACTGCCCTGCACTTACGTAGTTCTTCAGTACTAAAGGATGCAAAGCCTTAATGGCCATTAGCCTTTTCCTTCAACAATAGGAGACAGATGAAACTTACAGGTCATATCCTGCCTGTCACCTCTAGAAACAAGGGGCTCCAGGAGCTGTGTTATCAGTTGTCCTCTAGGAGGGTACTTTGATCACCAGAGACTTAAGAGAAGCATAGAAACATTGAATTGCAGAAGTACACTCCAGGGCTGAGGGAGCGCTGGCCCAGGAACTGGATGAGTAGCAGGGGAGAGTCCATATCATGAGCCTGACATGGCAAACTGTCTTGGCCTAAGGCCTTTGGACACAACTTAGAATCACATGACTCTATCCTCCATCCTGGGCTTCCTCGCTACCCAAGAGATCTCACTATAATTTGACCACCTGTACCATTTGTCTGTAGGGGGAGAATGCACGGATTGTCAAACAACACTGCGTGCTGTAAAGTAATAAACGGGCACTTGTGGTACTTACAGGTTGGTGTATTTGGTGCATGTGAACCTCCCAAGGGAAGGCACCCCTCACTGTGTGCTCATAAACGAGGTTTCTGAGTCTGCAAACCTGGGAGACTAGGTCCTAAAGGCAGGGGAACCACATGGCCACCTCCAAAACCCCAACTTCAGACCATGATATTTCATCAAAATCATGCCACCTAGTGAGGCCTGATGAAAGATGGCTTAGCAGCACACTCAGGACACCCAGAGATAGCTCAGCATCTCATACATTCTGATGTTTTATATTAATGCAGACTTCATAGTTAACCAGAGAAGTTAAGACTCATTTTGTAATTAGCGTCACTTACTCTATAACGTACACCATTAGTGTTCTCAAGTTCTTAGAATCCATCCATTCTCTTAGGTTAAAAAACAAGTCCCTTAAATCTAAAGTATGCTGTATACTTTATTCTTTGCTTGAAGCTAAGCTTCAGCCCAGCCTAAATTATTATAATATTATTTTTCCTGTGCCCTCATACCCGTCCACAACATCACAGTGTATATAGAATTTTCTTATCTATCATATCACTAGGTCCTTAGAATTCATCAGGATGGGCACTATTGTCTTCATTTACATCTGAAGAAACTGACACTCAGGGATGTCCTGTGACTTGCCAAGTTCATAAGCTACAGGGCTGGGATCCCCTCCTCCTCCTATTCCATGTTATATCGTCTCGACTGTATGTGATTTATTATCTTGCTTCTCTAAAGAACCAGAACACAATGAGTTAATTTCTCTAGACGTGTTTAACTTAAATATAGAAACAGCTAACTTATCAGGCCTGGAATCAAGTCACGTAATTCCCAAGGCTCGCTCATCTCTCCAATGCTGCAGCAATCTAACCCCAGAATGCTCTCTCCACAATTGGAGGAGCAAAGTATGATTTCGTCTCTTCAGAAGAAGGCATGCTCCCTGAAAACTCAGCGAGGAGCCCACTTAGATTCTCGCTGTCACACAAGCTGGCAATCTCTGGAAGCCTGCCGTGGGAGACACAGGGAAGTGGACTGTGCATGTGGCCTTCAGAGCCAAGGAAGACATTCCCAAGCCAGTGGCTCAGCCTGTGCCTGATTCTGGCAAGGAGCTGTTGTGACCAGAGCTGTTGTGGCCGAGCTCTACGGTCAGATGAGACATCAGGCTTAGCAACGTCTCCCACTGCTAAATAAGGCTCTCTGGGGACTTGTGGAGGCCAACTGCACAGGGAGAAGAGAAAGAAAACAATGAAATAGTGGGTAATCAGAAGTAGACCAGGGGTAGAGGTGGTAGGGGAGGTGAATGACACCACGTACGGGAAGAAAACAACATAAAAAGAGGTACAGATATGCAGAAAACCCTTCCTGTCACTTAAAGCCACTGTTTAATAATATTAGTATTTCCCAAAGTATATGAATAGGTTTCCATTAAAAAATAGACCGGGGAGGGTTTACGGAGGTCAAAGATCATATTCTCTCCAAATTCAAATCGTTAGAACACGGAATGCATTTTCTGTGGAATACCTCTGAACATTTGGTGGAACTAGCATCTAGTAGAAAAGTTTGGAAAACACTATTCCTAGTTCCTCAAAGAGCCTAGCAAGAGCTCCTGCAGACTCCTCCATAAGCTTCCCATTCCCGCATTAGAGGATTTCCTTGAGACTTATCCACCAGATCAGACGAGCCATGGTGTGCACACAACCACCTTCCTGAACCCGCTCAGCCCCCGCTGCTTCCGAGGCACTCGTTCCAAGCACGAGTTTAGAGCAGCCGCCGTCTGGCTCTACAGAGGCTGTGCCAGGGGCTCCCCTAAGTCTAGCTGGAGTCAGGCCGGGTCCAAACAGCCCAAGAGTGACGTGTGGCCTGCTACAGGGATTTATAAAAATACAGGCCTGTGTCAGTAAAAATTTTAGAATTTTAAAGATAGCATTTCAACACTTTTCACTTGTCATCTCTGCATGTTCCATCTGTTGCTGGCAGCCTTGGGGGCAAACTGTCAACCTTGGTAATATACCTGCCTGCATCTAACATGGCTCTCCTCCTACTTCTCCGGCACCTCATTTTTGGTCCTGCATGTGGCCCCAAAATGTTACTGCTTATCACTGGCTGCCCGTTAGTCTTGGGCCAGCACCCAGGGGTATCCAGCCACATCCTACGCCACAACTAAGCTTTCCAGCTCTGGCTGCAGGAGGGCGCTGGGGAACGCCACGACAAGGAAGAGGAGGACGTTGGGGTCCGGATCCTCCGAGGAAACAAGGCCCTCCCTGCCAGGTGGCCCAGCACCTACCTGACACTCCACATTGCAGTAAAATGCCTGCTTGCATCTTCCACATTTGGACAATCCTTCTTTCCTTAAAAACAGAAAGGGCACTGTAGTGGCGAGAGGCACAGAAACGTGAAGCTGCACATTTTATCATGCAATCATAAAAGCCATCTGGTCGGTAAGCAGAGCCAAGATTCACCTTACCTTACTCTCCCACTGAGAAGTGGCATTTTCCCAAAGGAGATTTTGACCAGATTCAGTCCTTGAGTAGGAGTGAGTTAGTCAAATAGCACACGCTCCAACAGTTACCGACCCTGACAGCGTGAAGGGCACTTTCCAAAGAGATGAATACCGTGCTCTTTGACTCATGAGCCTGGCTTGGGATGACACAGCTGTTAACATCACCTGCACCATTACTCAGTAGTTTGGGGCAAGTCAAAGGCTCTTATGTCCTGATTTTCTCACCTGCTAAAGAGGGATAGAAACAAACAAAACCCTCTTGGAGGTTTGACATCATAAAGACAGAGGATTGGGGTACACACTTACACTGGTGACAATGCAATGGGAGCGACAACCTTTCTTATTCAGACACGCAAGTAAGGCAGAAGATAGAATTGAGTATGTCAGTAATTCAAACGTTGTCCAGAAAGCTAAGTTAAAAAATAATGCAACCGAGCAAGCGGGGACGTATTCTGGAATAAAATATTATTGGATCTGATTGGTACGCCCAGCCACCTTGTTGATGTACTATGGAGCAATTCTTCTGCCCCTTCATAATTAGGTCAATGCTCCCTGTTCATTGCCATATTATTTTCTTGCTTCCCAAAAAGGACAGGGATGCTGTTGTTTCCCAGCTGTTAGGTGCTGGTGTGTTTGCTGTGCTAGACAAGCCGGAGCTTTTTCAAAAACTGTGAAGTCACTGAATTAAGCCACGCACAATAGAGTTTAAAAAAATCTTTTGAGGTGAAGAACAAATACAGGGTTAGATCAGAGCACTGTCTGTAAAACCTGCCGTCTAATTCTCACGCACCCAGCTCTCTGACTTCCAGAAATGCCGCCACCACGACGGGCAGTCTCGCTGCTGCCAGGGGTGCTGCACTGCAGCCGAGCCACACCACCCCCACCCCTCCTGCAGCGTGCCGGGAGGAGCTCATAGTTTATAATACACATAGAATCACGCTGCAGAGCCCTCCTCTGCTCTTTGTCAGCGAGTGGTAGTCACCACACTCCTCCCACGGAATCGAGAAAGTGTTCCCAAAATGCTACTGTTGGAACTAAACAGACTGCCTTGCAGTTTTCATGACAGTGCTTGGATTCCAAGAAGCAGACTGAAGAACGTGTGGGAGGAAAACACATCTTGTGGTGGATGCAATAAATAAATATTCCAAGTCTGCATATCTCAATAGTTCAAAAAGGAACCCGCTAATTTAGCTGAGTGTATTCTTCAGCCTGAAATACCCCTCGAGGGTGCACTGGAATACGATGCGGTCCCTGCTCTCTTGCAGTTTATACCAAGGGGAAAAGGACAGAGGTGCACTCAAAAACAACCGTGAAGTGACTTGCAGGCAAGCGCTAAGTGATGTGGACCGTGAAGAAATGCCAAGGGGATGGAAATTAAAGATGGGTAAAACCAGGGATGGAATTTTGAAAATTCTTTCCCAAAAGAGGGGCATTTGCAAATGGCTAATGGATGGGTAGATGTCACCCTATCAGAATGTCCATCTGAAAAAAGTCATTTGTTAATGTTTGCTTCTGCAGGGGGAGAGGCCACAGAAGCTCTTTGAGAATTTGATGGAAGCAATTAATTTCTCAGACCCCCAAAAAGCAACAAAAGATTTTGTAAAATTTCAAGGGCTCGTGAGCCACCTAAAGCCCATACACCGATCACTGAAGAGCCTCTGAAACCAGTTAAGAGCCCTTGATATAAAAGAATAGGAAATCATCACAAAAATATCTTTATTAGCAGTACACCATACAAAAAAGCAAGGACTACAGAGGTCTTCCTGCACAGATGCCAGCCGCAAAGTAAACAGGAAACCAAGGTTTGTTTTCAGCTTTAAGCTGGCATCCCAGGGAGAGAGAAGGCAATTGGACTCTAGTGAGCTAGTGAGGATTCTAGCGGGATTTCATCAAAATAATAGATCTCCTAGAGGCCGGGCTTCATTCAACCCGGCCAGTCACCAAGGCCACAAACCACAAACAATGAAGAAGAGGGAGAAAAAGCTAATTTTAAGTGTTAGCAGTATGTACCATCGATCCCAGTGGTTCTGAAGTCATGGTCTGTAGACTTCTGGGGTCCCAGGGACCTTTCAGGGAGTCAGTGTGGTCAAAACTATTTTCATATAATACTACCATCTTGACATTTGTGCTGCAGAAGGTTTAAGGTGTCAAGGCGCCTGGAAGGCAAAATTTCCAGGGCCTTCGTACAAATCACAGTGGCCCCAAACTGTCCAGGATTCTTCACTTCCACACACTCACAGCAAAGGGAAAAAAAGCCAGTTTCACTTAAGAATGTCCCTGATGAACCAGCAACAAATGTTAAGCTTATTAAATCTCGACTCCTCAGTATGCATCTTTTTGATATTCTGTGATGAACTGGGAAGAAAGCATAAAGTATTTCTGCTGCCTACTGCTGTATGATGGCTGTCTCAGGAAAGGCACTTGGTGACCCCTAGTTATAAACTGAACTAGCCACTTTTCTCTTGGAATACCATTTTACTTGAAAGAACACCTTTAGACAAACTGTGGTTATTCTGACTTGAGCATTTGGCAGACACGTGACGGAAACGAATGAAGTGAGCCTGTTACATCAGGGAAAACAATTGGCAATATTTGTTGCCAATGATAAAATTTGGGCTTTCAAGCAAAAATGAGAAATCTGGAAAACATATATCTGCCACCCCGAGCTTGACAGTCTCTCATCTGATGAGATTGGTGGTGATATTAACAACTGTGATTTTTTTGGATATAGTTTGATGAAATGATTCAACTTTTAGAAGGTCCACGTAATTTAGTGCACCAATATTTTCCAAATGACCAGCGTGTGCTGTTTAAAAAATTATGCATGGCTAAAAGAGTCACTCAAAGTACAAGACAGACCAAGGGATTTTTAATGTAACTGAGTACATGAAGTTCATTGATACGGCTTCAGATTGCACGTTACAGCTAACTTTTAAGACAGTATCACTTACGGAGTTTTGGTGTTGAATCAAAGAATATCCACAATTAACTGAAAAGCTATTAATATGGTACTCCCTTTCCAATTATGTACATATCTATATGAGGCTGGATTTTCCCCATATACGCCTACCCAAACTACCTAATACCACAGACTGAATTCAGAAGCATATTTGAGGATCCAGTTGTCTTCTGGAAATGCAGACATTAAAGAGATTTGCAAAACCGTAAAACAACATCACTGTTATAATTCTTTTGTTCTGGGAAACAGTTCTCATTAAAAAAATGTTATCTTAACAGTAATGGTTGTTGCCATTTTAAAATGAATGCTTTATAATTGTTTAATTTCAAATATGGTAAATATTGATAAATATAATCCATATGAACAAAAGTTTTCTCGAGTTCTCAATTTTTAAGAGTATGGAGGGGTCCTTAAGACCAAAACGTTTGAAGACTGCTGATCTATCTTAATAAGTACATCAGCTCCATGAATATATTATTATTCCTATTTTTCAGATGAAGATAAGGAGGATCCTAGAGGTGAAATATCTAACCCAACGTGGTCATTCAGCAAGTAGGTAGCAGAATCTGAATTCACATATCGATGTGCACATTTTGTCTTCATCCTATAAGAGCATCCTTTCTTGAGTACTGTGACAATTATCCAGGAGGATATACCACTTGAAGCAAAAATAATCTATATGTTTGGATAAGCTAAAAGTAATAACAAAGCCTAAGTAAAAGCATTCTGTAGTCTGGTCTGCATCATGTCCCAGCTCCAATGGCATCCCATTAATGTCACTTTGCTTCAAAGATGCAATGGGGAGTATCTAGGATCATTTTTCAAAAAGAAATTTGGGGAGGGAGCCTCCCCACCAAGAGGGTCTTCCAACCAACTGTGAGACAGGAATTGACTTCACCTGAAATGGGTTGAAACAAAACAGGATTGATTTTGTATTTAGTCCGCGCAAAGAAGGTCCCTCCCTCTCATTCAGTGCAGTAAATCTAAGTATTCCTCAGACACACACTGGGCAAGTCCAAGCTGAATCACGTCCTCTGGGAACCGAGTGAGAGAACACTGCAGCTCTCACAAACAGCTGAAAAGTTCTGCCTGGCTCTGAAGCAGAGTTTACCGTATATACACTCATTAAGTCGACCACCCGGTTATACGTGACTTTTCTTAATATAGATCGTCCTGAGCCAGACTACCTTCAGAACAGAGAAGGAGAAAAGCTAAGCCAGTCCCTGAGAGGGAATGGCTTAAGAATCTCCTTTGGTAGGAGCAATTCTAGATGAGGTGGAGTGGGGACAGGAGAGGGAGCTCTGTTGACATTATCCAGATATGTGTCTCATGCTTCAGTTCTTTCCACAGCTAGGGAGAGATGTAAGCTTTTATAAATCTAATGTTTGAAACTCAAACCAAAATTTGCCGAGCTGGTACCTGCATTGTGTACGTGCTTGAGAGAGAAAGGAGAGAACGAGAAAGAGATAGCCTGTGAGTGGTTGACTCTCGCTGACTGAGGAGTTCAGCCAGAGAGAAACTTCATATGGGATATCCACTTTCACTGCAGGAATATACAAGGCATTTGGAATAAACTCTGACCCTACAGAAGACACAGCCATAAATCTTCCATTTGCCGTGTAACCTAATCTGAATTATCCAGGAGGTTTGGGGAAAAGATACCAAAACAAGGAAAACAAAATTCCCCTTGAAGACAGATTAATAAAGGTTACTTGGAGGAATGAACTGAACCCCAAAGAAATGGAACTGAAAGACAGTGAAAAGTGAATCACGAACAGCCTCCTACAGACGCTCTCACCCTCTCCAGCACACGCCCGTCTGGGCCTGGGGCAGAACCCAGCAACTCTCATTTGCTTGGTCTGTGCTGAGATTTTTTTGAAAGCTCTCCA